AACAAGGCGATGAATAAAGCAAACACTCATGGCACACCACAGTGGGCAAGCGTAAAAACACCTCGGGGGTAGGACTTAGGGTTTAGAGTAAATCTAAACGTGTGCGGAGTTTTCACCTCGGTCCATGCAGATAAGCTTCGTGCGAGCATTGTAACCTCGGAATCCTCTCAGAACGACAGGGGTCCACGTGGTCGTATGTGATCTTCCTTCTTATCTTCCTTCTTTCCATTTCGGCCCCGTAAGCTTTGCCCCAAACCCTAAGCCCTAAACCCTATTATAAGCTCTGCATCGCAGCCTCTGCCATGCCGAGCTGGCTTGGAGGTACGGGCGCCGTTTCGCAAGGGCGGGCCGCAGAGGCGGATCGTAAACGGATTCCGGGATTCTGATAACCTAAAGTAGGGGGATTGAGAGTTTAGGGTTTAGGCCAGTGGGGATACAAAATACAGGTTCAGGGATCCCAATAACCAAAGTAGGGTTTAGGGCTTCGGAGGAACGTCTACAGACTTTAGGGCCCAAAGTAGGTAATGTTTACATACCTGAGGGCAAAGTATGGGTATTCTTTATATACTTGGATCCCAAGGGTTGTGTTTTACAGAGGAGTGAAGAACAGGCCCGATCTAGGAAGGATCGGATTATCAACAAACCAACCCTAAACCCTGAACCCTGAGTCCTGACATGTAAAGGGCTTTGTGCTGTCACATGGAACTGATTTGTGAATACTATTGCAGCTTGTATTCAACTCTAGGAACTCCACTGCTGCTCTGCTGGTGAAAATGACATTTTTTTACATGCGAAATTATCTGACCTGTCTGGGCCTGCCGGCATTGCAGAACCGGTTGGGATATCAACTTACAACCTGGGAGCCGTGATCGCCTATCCAATTCGCAAGAAAGCCACGCAACACAAGGGAGATACTTCCAGGTTGATTCGATTTGATCTTTTGCATAAAAGTCGTCGGTGCTACGATGCCTAGACCCATCCAACTACATGCTCCCCGCACACCAAAACTCCTGATGTTGCTTTGAGAGCAAACCTTGCGTGATCTAGAAAGCTTGTCCGAAGATCGGCATTCTGAATTGGGCACTTCCCCCCTAGTAGCAGTCTAGAACAGGAGTAGCATCAAGGCCTTTACATAAACCATCAACTCTTGAGTGGGGAATCATCCAAATTATGAAGCACTTCTCTCGTGTTAAAATGCCAAAGACTTGACGACCGCTGAAAATCATCTCCCAGAAACACCCTCAGATTGTGACAAGTAAGGCCAACTGCAACTAGCAAGTCCACCCCATAGTCCCGGCCACATCTACAATCCAAGATCGGCCCTGTGACACTGTACGAAACACGAATTCGCAGGTTTTCCAACTGATTGGCTACTTGCGGCTGTTACGTTGTGCAAAGAATCGTCTTGCCAATAGCAGCCTCCACGTATGCGATGCGCTCGCGAAATTCTTGCAGGGCAGCATCGTAAAGGATTTTGTCAGCTGCGGTCATTGCATCTATCTTCGCCCTCACGGTGCTCGGCAGAACGCGAATGTCATGATCTGGCACGCCGTGTCGTTCATGAACTTGCTTGGCAGTTGCTTGGCTCTCGCAGTCACAGGATTCTGTTGACATCTGCAGCTGAAACATCAGCATGCATACAGAAGCTTTATAGTGCTCCATGATGCCCACGAACCACAGACTTCGCATGTTTTTGATGGCTTTCTGCACATTATCCACCTGCCGAAGAAGATGACGATGTCCCCCTTCGGGATACGGGTCATCACAGGTCAAGTAACGCGTCTGAAGGTTCCATGGGTGATAGCCTCAGTGAACATGAAACGAATTGCTGTTGGAGTTTGCCCACAGAGACATGGACCAGCCTACATGGATGCATTAATCTGCCTTCTGGCCCCGTGCAAAAAAGAAGTAACCACTACCACGCATGACAAATCAGCGAATCCGCAAAGACTACATGCACGAGTCCAAGTTGCAGTTGTAATGGTCGTACCTCGGGGTCAAGCAGTCTGCAGATCAACACAGGACTTGCAGCCCTTCAAACGCGAATTCTTGATAGTGCAGGACCTGCATCAGTAAGAGAAGCCCCGCTGCAAGAAAAAATGACTAGCAAGTGGATATCTTCTTGAAACCAAACGCTCCCTGCCTGCGAAGCAAGCCTGCGATTGTGATGGTTAATACTGCGGCCGTCAGGTGGTTGGGAATCTCGCCAATGGTGACGTTAAGACAGTAGTGGAAACATAACAGTCTACATCATCCAATACGATCATCGCTAGCAATCACCACTACGTCGGCTCCGGTCAGAGCAACCATATGCATCCTCTCAACACGTTGTTAGGGCTGTTGGCGCGCAAATTTGAAGGCCTCAACTGAAGCTCCGAAATTGGGGAGGGATGCCCTTATCTTTCCCTCCCCCACAAGGGTTCCTGGAGTAACGTAAGGAAGACTATTTGGGCCTAAGGGTGAACAAGGGGTTCCGGGTTCAGGGTTTAGAGCTTAGGGATGTGGAAGTTTGCTAACACGAAATGCCCCTAATTGGAGGGTGATGACATGTTACACAACTGAACATCAAACGCGAGGCCTATAGCGTCAGCACATCCCCCTGCACCCTCACCGTATGACAACCAACCTAGACCCCAAACCCCTAAACCCTACACTAAGAGAGGGGTCGCTACCATTGAGCCACAGACCCCGAGGGCTTGGCGGAGGGCCTCACAGCCTGAGCGCTTATGCGGAAAGGTAAGGGTAAAGCCTCACTGCCTGACGTGGACAGGCCAACGAAAATGACCTCCTCTACGAAAGTCCATGCTCAATCAAAAGATATAAAGGTTAACCCCAAACCGTGGTCCACGAAGGGTGTTTAGGATTCTTGGCAGGGTTTAGGGTTCCTCCTGGTGGGTCTTGGGCTCGCAGGGCCTCCTCTGTAAGCGAATTTCAGGATGTAGTTCGAGAGGAGGGGGGGGGGAGCAGCTCACCTCCAAGAAACCTGGCCTGCCTCGCTGAGAAGTGAGGATCTACGAGCCCTCCAAGGCCTCCCATCAAGGGGCCTCTGCAGGGCCCTTAAAGGGCAGAAGGCCTCCCGGATTTGTTCTGCGAGGCCTCCCTCTTGCATGCCGAAGGCTACCCCTCGCGAAGCGGACACCCGAGATAGTCGGCCATTAGAGGTGTGGTGGTGATCATTCTTGGCTGGGGCCCGCGCAGAACCACGCCAAAGGCTACCCCCTTGCCGGAGCGGATACCCTAGATGATAAAGCATGAGGGGTGATGGCAGGGGGCTCGAAAGCAACACGGGCGCGCGTCCCTTGACGCTTCGCGCCGAGCGCGCGCTCACGCCTGACAAACCCTAAGACTGAACCCTAAGCCGCAAACTAGTTGCCATGGCCCCTTCCGAGCTCTCACACCTTTATCTCTAAAATGGTCCAGCCATCGGTCGAAAGAAGGAACATATCCTGGGTAGGGTAAGGTGTAGGGTGTAAGGTTAGGGATTCGGAATGTGGGTTTCTGGCTTGGGACGAGGCTAGAACAGAAGGCAATCCAAGCCTGTACGTGGGGTATGGGATTTAAGGCGGCTAGAATACAGGATCAAGAATCAAGATTTAGATTCAATGGCCTTGGGTCCCCACTTCGGGGTTTAGGTGGAAATTGCTGATAGAATTGATCTCGCCTTGCAAGATACTCGTAGCAACTCCCGTGCCATGAGTGCCCTACGCCGTGCAAGACGAGCTCTGCCAGAATTCAGCACGGCGCAGGGTTAGAGTCAAGATTTGAGCCGCGTGCCCTTCACTTCTTTCAGTGCTTTACGTGCCCTATACTTCAGAGCATCAAACTGGCAGTGCGAGTAGTGCCCACAATTCAGGCTTCCAACATCGGCTGCTTTTCTGGATCAGGGATCACCTTGCCAATGCCCTTCTTTTGAATTATCTCCGCTCGGATTGGCTACCGCACACAGGCTTGGGTAACTCTCCAGCCCTCCAAAGGACACATCTCACAACCATGCGAATATCAGAATAATACCAGGTATCTTGACTGGCTTGGCGTTACTGATCCCTACACCCTAAAATCATGGGCCCACTGAAGCCGGACGAGTGTGGCTGAGGGGTGTTCCAACCTGGGCGGCCCCATAAGCCTTCGTTAAACTCAAGGCCCCGTGTAAATGACCACAATATTGAGAATTTTTAGGCCCCTACCATACTCAGGTCCGTTCCACATTGCTGCCCAGCTTCCTCTTGTGATGTCTTCCGTTGGATCGCGCGGAAAGTCAGTGTGATTCGTTATCTGCTGTCCCCACTTGTCATACTTGCATTCCAGGTATAATGAATACACATGCTCGTCAGGCTTCCGGAAAAAACTGGCGAAGTTCTTTCCGCCTTCCTTCCTTGCATGGCTCAGGAGCGAAAAGCAACAGCGTATCCCACACTTGCGCAAAAGCTCAAAGACTTTTTGGGAGTAAATGTTCCCTATGCTCTCTGTAAGGGAGTGCCAGGTCTCATTATTATCCCCACTTGTCCCCATATGTCCCTAGGGCGGAGGACCTCATTTTTTCCCGGAGTGAATACGCAACATTAGGGGGGTTTACACGGGATCACCGCGGGATTGTTGCAGAAATCGACTTGGTTCAAAGACACACACAAACAAGCCAACCAACAAAGATGCACAAAGATGCACAATGAACACGCAACCCTGAACTGGCTACATGATGGGGCCATGCAACCAGCTGACTGGTAGACTTGTACTTCCTGCAAGTGAGATGGCGCGGACTAAAACACGCCCAAGGAAAGGGATGCTATGTCTGAGATGTGCTGGGACTATATAAACTCCTCCATCCTTTCCAGTTCCTACACAAGCCCTGCGCACAAGACCCTCCACAATCTCCGCATCCAAGCTTCTGGAGGAAGTAAAAGCACTTTTCGTCTGCCCCAGGGGAAGAATCTTTGAAGCGAACGCCTTGGGGCCTTGCTTTCGAGTTTAATGTCAAGGGCTTAGAGGATGAGGTGCTCCAAGGCGTCAAACTGTCCACTGCAATGCAAGGATTTCAGGTAGGCTTATAGCTTACATGCAGCCGTGTTAGGTTGATGGTGACAGCTGCGGGGATCCTCTGGGTGAATCCATGTCTGTGCCCTCTGCACAGGTTTGCCAGCAATGGTGTCTGGTCCAGACCTCCAAGCCCTAAACCCTGATGCTTGAGCTCTCGGGTTTAGGGCTTAGGGATGTTTAGGATCCCTATATTGGGATTATCTTGGGATAGTGGAAAATAAAATGGAAACTACTGTTTAGCGTTGAGGGTGACCCCAAAAACTATTTCACAAACGTACCCGGCATCCTTCAACCCTACATTCATCTAAATTCTCGTCCGTAAGCCCCAACCCCTAAACCCTAATCCTAACCCCTCAAACCTACACGTAAACCCTTAGCCTGAACTCTAAACCCTAACCCTTCGAAAAGTAGATTGCTGTTGAGGAACTTCGTTTAACTTGCTAACGCGGGGGGAACCATATTAATTACTATGTATAAGCCCTAAACCCTATATATAAACCCTAAACCCAAAACCGTAATTCAGGGAAGTAGAGCAGAGGCACTTCATCTGCTTGTAGATGGATGTCCCGGCACATTTGGGAATGTGCATCCTCGGGTTTTGGGGCAGTTCCTCCAAAAAGTTCCTCCTCTAATGCTTGAAACTAATTACTTTTAGAAGGCTTAGGGTTTAGGGTTTAGGGGAAGCAGTAGCACTCACTAGAAAGATCCCCCAAAAAGGGAGTGCGAAATATTGAAAACATGCACTTCGTGCCAGCAATCTAACATACTCAGCGCTGCCAAGAGGCACCGCATGATATTGAAGGCAAGGCGACTGCTACAGGAGCAAAAAAGGGTAATATTAGGGTTATATTGGGGTTATATGGGGATAATGGAAAAGAAAATGGAAACCACTATATTGGGTTATATAGGGTATAGAATATGGGGTATATGGGAATCTTATGAAGGTCTCAGGGTACCATTATACTGTTGACTGGCCATACAACACGGGTTTGATGTCTGCTGCCGGCAAGGAAACGTATATATTCTGCACCTTCTGAATTCTTCCGGGGACATGGACGACGTCAAGGGTTGGGGTTTTGCTTTGCCAAAAAGTGGAAGGTACAAGGCTTAGGATATCAGCAGCTTTTTGCTGCGGGGAAGGAGGTTGCACACCTAAACCCCGAAGATCAAAACGTGCGATTGCTGGGCACAGCATCTGGGTGATGACCGCGGATTTGCTGATCACTTGCACGGATTTTTTGGTCCTCAGGTGAGCTGTTTTGGTTCAGGTGTTTGGGTCTAGGGGGGAATCATGGGTCGCGTCCAGGGTTCTGCAGGCAGTGTAACAGTGCTATGTAGGATTTGAGGGTCTGGATCATGTTCAGGCAGGGGCTTAAGATTGGCGACCACATCAGCCTTTCGCAGGCACCGTTCCATTGAGATTTGCAGGAAACTTTGTCCTTTCGCAAGCCCTTTCGCCATCCGAGTAAATTTGAAGGGGTGGGTGTTTGGACGACCCTCACATGGAGAGACTCGGGAAGACGTCGTAGGGAGCATGAAGTAGACCTGCTAGAACCCGAGCTTCCAAATACTAGACATCTATACCTAGGCATTGAAGTCTTGTGGTAGGATGTTTGCCGTAAGTGCTTTGACATCAAGGTTTAAAATCCAAATGGGAGGGCCTGAGGAAACCTAGGGTATATGGGGATTCCAGGGATTATGGCGGCGGCTATCAGTGCAGGATTCCAATACGGTGATTCTCGGACACTCTCTAATGCGAGAGCGATCAGCATTAGTAACGTGAGGCAGTCTGACAACATGTGCGCTTGGCTACCTCACAGAACGTGATCCATCACTTTCCCAGGAGAATACAAGCGATCATTGTAACACACTTCCGGTATCCAACTTCGAAGAAAAACTCATATGAAATGATGATACTCTGCGATTTGTATTGAAGTAACCTGTAATTACAGTAATTGT